TTTTAATGGGTTATTAAATTATTCTCAAGTGATGTAGCAAAATCGGTGTCCCAGCAGTGGGAAGGTTTTCTCTGTTAGATTTTATGTTCAATATCAGCTTTTACATACCGCGGCTCAGTTGACCCCCGCACACACTGAACTACTTGCAGCCGCTGTTGTCAAACAGAGTTCATTACTGTGGATATGCTACAGTGTCAACATACAACGCATCCCATGGGAGGTGAATATTGATTACCGAACGCGTAACACTGTCTGGCATCAATAAAAAAAATAATTACATGCGCGACCCCTGTAACCTGTTTTCCACGAGCGAACCTTGGGGAGTATACTCGACTGATGGAATGTCGCCAGGTACTTTTCAATGAAACGTTGTTAGGCATGTAACAGAATGTAGTTATTCTAGCCGCTACTGCTATTGTCAGATAGGTATAATTTCAGTCAAAACTATTTCTTGAAATGCCGATTTCGATGAACCGTTGAAGCAGAAGTTGTTTTCGTCACTGCCAGTCGATGTATTAATGCAAACGAAAAAAATAACAACTTTTCGATGTATGTGAAATATTTTTGTTCATCTCGGCAAACAATCTGTGCTTCATTATTGCGGTGCTTTCAAAAGGGAGACTATTCGATATTGAGTTCCTGTATACGTCACTCTGTGTTGTTTTATTGCGAACACAGCTATCACCACCAAATTGGATAACAGTAAAAGGTAACACACGTTTTATATAATTGAGTATCTTATATTGACCGATGTTATCCAAATATGGCATACCAGGGCCTAGCCACGCAGTAAGGCGTAATACAATCGATGCTATTTTTCCAGCTAGATATTGTTATTTTATTACAAATATTACTGATCGAAGATATGAAGTTCTTCCTCCGATTTTTAAAGTAATCGCATCAGTTTGTTGATTAAATGTATTGTCTCGATAGTGTAGAATCAATACTATGGCATGGTGGCACAGTATGAATACATATGTATGGTATGTTTCGTCATCGTGTATGGATAACGTGTACCAAACTCAATCTATATTAAGCTTGGCAAATCGTATTTTTAGGAAACTGATTACATCGCCGCTGTATGCTGACCACGAACACGCGTGTAATTAGATAATATGTTACGTAATTAACAATTTAATCATAAGTGGGGAATGTGAAAAAAATATATTTTTAATGTTCACCAGGAAGCGGATTTTATTATGGTCATTATTCGGTAATTGGTAAGGGTCATCAAACTAACAAATTCCATTTCCTGGGGTCCATTACAATTATCCATTATTTGTGTATTGCTTCATCAGTAGATGGTTTGTCTGGCAAACGACGTTGTCGCTGTTATCCCTGTCTTTAATTATTCATCCTGGGGTAATTGGTCTTATTTATCTCTGCACCTAGCTGACAATTGCCTTACTGGATCTGATTTCCGGACTGCGTGTCCGAATAATGACGCAATTCTAAAGCAATTACTTCTTAACTGCCTTTGGGGGCAAGCCATTTCGGAGCAGTATGGTTTAGCTGTCGAGCTTCATCGTCTTGTTTGCTAGCAAACTAAAGATGTAAAATGCCATGCGGATCGGAGACAATTCAAACATGTATCATTTTATTTAACTACACGTGCGCACAAGCATTAAAACTAAATCCATCGGTTCTCGTGGGAATCATTAAAATGGAAATTGGGATCGTTATGGCCATACTGTTTTATCCCCCCTAAGCGAGAAGACACGGTTACAATTTGCGTTTGCTTTGATAGACGCACTTATCGTTTGTAATAAAGCCTGATCGTGTTTGTATTCTCTCATTCATTGAACCTTAGTGAATATCATCAGCGTAAAATCGACTCATTAGAGACCAAGTAGATCGTACACTAACATAACATATTAATGGTTCGTTTGAGTCTGATATTAAAAAAATATTATAGAACTCTCCTTTACTGTACTTTTGTCAATTGGTTGTCTCCATTGGCGTTTTGAGTTAGCTTGCACTTGTTTATACTTATATAGTACATTATTGTATCTGAATGCGCCCTCATTTTCCATTTTCAAACGTTCCCTTATATATTTCACTGCATTTAATGTCGGCGTAGTTTTGACATAATTGCGTGTAAAAGCCGGCCACTTCTGTATAAAAAAAACCTTTTATGTGGTAAGCCATCATACTTTCTTAATACAGCCGTAATCATGTAGTGCAATTAAACATACCCAGGCGAGTTGCAGCTAGTACCGAAGACATTAGGGATAATTAGGTAAATTCTAGACTCGTAATGGTTTGTAGTTGCTATTATGCGCGATACAGACCAATTGAAATGTACATTCCATTACCAAAAGCAAAACGAATGGAAAACATTTAAGGGCATTGATGGAGTGACCTTTTTGAGTTGTTTTTTTCTGCTGTCTTGAAAAATCACAATTTATATGACGGCGATTACAACCTTGCAAATTATCTAGAGTGACTCCAATAACAGTATTACATGTTCCTTCATGCCTTCATGTCGGCTGAAAGGAAAACTTTGACAGAAACGAGACTTGTATCTCAATGTGGACATACAACATACGGGGAAGGCGTATTTAAAGCGTTATACTCTCAGAAACTTGTAATCTTTCTGCCAGATTCACTCTGACTGTGGAAACCATCGTTAGTGAAGTGTCTAATCATGATTTATGTTTATTTCTCCGTGTGTACATTACGAGTTGAACTTCGCTGACACGGAAGTCGCCGCGTGGATCTTGATCGCATGCCGTAGACTAGGAAATGAAACACACATACATAACCAATGTTAACGTAATAGATAACGCGACGAATGTTAAATGGGTGACATGCGATCAAACGTACATCAATTACAACATGTCTTCTCGCATGTCAAAAGGTGACACATCCTGCATCATTTCCATGGCAACCGCATTCCACGCTTTCCAACTTCTATTAACCTCGTGATGCGAGGGGGCTGATTCTTTAATTTACACATTTTGCCCGCGGTGCTTCACCATAACCAAATTGAATTTCGACTCGTATGCCATTTTACACTTGGTTACCTTGTTTGGGCGGTTCTCGCGGTGTAAGGGCTCACTGATCTCGTAATATTAGGCTTTCAACTTGCACCGATACGATATTATAAATAATGCAGTTAATATCCCATTGATAACTGCCCACACATCACTGTCACTTCATTCCAAATTTCCGTAAAGCGCACTACCGGATGTCGGATTCCGACTAAAAATAATTAACTATGCAAGGCACATGTGCCGTAATTTCCTCCAAACCAACTCAGTGGTAAATGTATTAAGAGACAATTGTCCAGGGTTCGCTTCGTCTACTTCTACATCGATACCATTGAGGACCGCCTTGCGTAAATGTCACTTACGGGGCATCATTGCGCCAGGTGTACATCGACGGAGGTCTTGTTTAACCCGAAACGGCAGCGATACGACCTCAGTGAAACCAAGATTCGAACGCGTTATTTCTAGACAGATTCAATTCTAAATGTAAATAATATCACTGGACACATATCCTTTCTATTATTGGGACAAACAAGTTAACGCTCTACAATTGTTTGTTAGTTTGCCTATTTAACAAAAGGTGTAGCTACAACACCGAGGCTTTTGATCTTACGTGCCATACCCTATTCAATAGCAACGTCCCCAGGATACGTGTTTCATTCTATACTAAAAAAAAGTTAATCAAAGAAACCGAATTCAGGCGACGTTGTTAAATTTAAAGTACAGTAGCAGTACCAATATTGTATATAGTCTCTGTTTTGAGGTTTATTCCTCGACTCCTAACTGCCGGGGAAGGATTATCACTATTTTGAAAGACTATGAAGACAAAAGGAAACAGAGCTGCAATAGTGTTACTAGATATATACGTACATAGATATTACTGAGTAAAATTAAACACAGCCGATCACAATAATGCCGCTGGCCGAGTCATTGTATACATCTTGTATCGAAAGTCCACAATACTAATTATAAAAGCTCCCGTAGTACTTCTATAAGCTCAGAATTCATATACCTGGGTTTAATACACTGACATTGCACGTGAGATCAGATTTCGACCGTGCCCAGTGGTCACCGTTCCCTCAGACACAGCTACCTACTTATAATTCATTCGGTTCTGCTCTTCTAATAGTCTACTTTGCGTTCGTCGCAATTTGAAGACAAATCACACGCAATCATTCAGTTTAGACTGACTGGCAAATCAGCGTCATGTTTACCGTTTATCACCGGCATACATGTATACTGAATCTCCCACGTTGGACTCAGACGTAGAGCTATAGTCAAACGATCACCATGGTAACCTTACATCACTCTACGCCTTAAGTTGTTAATGTACATCGTCAGCTTCGATTGCCAATAGGTAGGAGCTCGCCGTTTGTGTTCATTTCGATTTGAACCATCGATTGCGCAGTGCATTACTCTAACATATAACGTGTACGTGCGGTGTATATACACGTATTTAGCTGTACCGTCATTCGTACACAACACCGTCCACGATGGCTATCGTAATACAGAGCAATAAGAGTTGTCAAGTCATTTGCATATCGTCATATTACGCGATCCCGGTATTTATGATTCGACGCAGGTGAACGGTGAGGCACAGTACGAAGCGGTGACTGTGTGAATTGGTCTCGTATGGACACATCATATACCCAAGCGACTGAGCACGAATTTGACGAAGACTGTGGTTGTTCGTATACTGGTAGCATGTACCTATGTAATTAGTGTTCATTGGAGTGACAACTTGGTGTGAAAACGAGTTCACGAACTCTTAAATAATTTTACCGAGGGTAACCATTATATAGGTAACATACTATTTTGGAAACTTCTTTTGTGTTCAGTTACTTTATTGAAAACCATGAAAGCTTTCATGTTTACAATCTCTCTCTTCTTGTATATATAGTGAGAGAGGTTTTTAACTCCAGATAGTGCCAGTAGAAATAACGACCACTCACGCGTACATGCGGAGTACAACTTCACGAACTGACAAGGGGCGTCGTGTTTTCTCATTTTAATAGAAGTCATCTGCAAAGATCAGGAGAAGATGTAAAGAAGCAACTGCTTGAAACGCTGTAAAGAGGAATTTATCTATGCTAAACCATCAGAATGTGTTCCGTAATTACTACGCTGGCCGTGTTGGCAGTGACTCACATTATGTTAGGGCTGATCTCATTCGGCGTTGGAGCTATATCCTCATCTAGGGCCGTAATGTGGTTAGCCCATACCGTGTCGCCAGTCTGGAGCGGAGCATGTGTGAGTATTACACAACTTTACTAGCATTAAATGCCTCACTGTATTTTATTACGATCACCTGTACAGTGGTCGGCATTCTTCTTATATTACAGTCTCTGAGCTAAGTGTGATTTAAAAAGCAATTTCTATAGCTTAATATGACACCACAGCTGCCCCGTACATGGGAGGGCATTTACTTGCGCTCAAGTGTGTCCTTCCCAATTCAATTTGAATAAAATGTATTTGTCAGTCAATCACAATTATTATTTCGACATAAACTGGATATCTAATATATTACAGAAATTGTGTATATAAATGTCTACTAATTGCATTGTACTATAGTAATATTAACCATGAGTGTATGTGTGTATATTATGACGCCGTTGTTACAATGTAATCAAGTATTGCCACTTGATGAACTGAATATTGTGCGGGGACCCACCCTGATGCGTTGGTAGATAGGTGTATGCGGGCCATAGTGGACTTGTTTTTAATGTTTACTGCCAATGAGGTACGTGGATTCGTGAAAGTAGTGGACAGACAAATACTAAGAATAAAAATGAATACAATGTATAAGATTAGGATTAGGTCTGATAGGTTATATATGTTATGTTGTATCATAACTGATTAATCTTATTAAGTGAGAATCACTAAAAGCAACCAGTTTGTTACTGCCCAGCCCACACCTCATCAGAATATTCAACTAAAGAACACTGACACACTCATTACCGATATTCAGTAATTTTAAACCGACTAGAATTCAGAGCTTAAATGAGCTGTATTTCTTACAAACGTTTCCATAGCGACAATAAAGATCATAGTCAGTCTCTTTGAAATGGGTTCTTTATATCAATTTAGACAATGGTACTAGACGGTATAAGTATCATCATCCTAATTAATATTCGCACGGGATTTGAATGACGCCCTTCGTTTTTGCCACACAGGTTTAATTAGAGGTCGATTCACTCTATAGCGAACACTTATTTGATTATAACGGCGAGGTCGACGCAATATACATATATATATATTTGTTAGAACTGGCAATATCCCGGATGTTGAGAGTAGACTTCGTAGATATGCATTCATACTTATCCAGGGCACTCCATTAACTGCGAGAGAAGACTCAGAATAAAAAAAAAAAAAGATACGCTGTTACGTTGTATGTTTTACCGCGTCCGTATATTTCAGTAAATCCCTTAAACAATTTGTAACACACATTTTTAACAATATGTAGTGGAATTTGTTCGGTTCGACTACCTATAAATGGACTATCAGTAGAGTTCAGAACATCGCATTTTAGTATTATTTTGTAGACGTGATAAACAAAAAACGAAATAGTATTAACACTCTCCGGAAGTGCAAATCAGACTTGCTACGGGGTCAAAGTTCACATTTTCAAATGATTTAATTGAATTTATTTATTCCATTCATTTTAATAAATACCAACTGTATTATATACTACCCTAAGGCATACAGCACCGCAATGGACGCGGCGTAGATTTGTATAGCGCGCTGCAGTGTATGCCCAGTACATATTAATCCTCTTCAAACGAAATAATTCTATTTTACCTGACCGTGTTTATCTACACTCAATTCACTAGTTCTAATTTGCGTTAGCGGAGTAAACATTGGGCTCGCCCAAATTGCTACGCTCGCTCAACTCCGAGTATGACCAGCTATTGTGCAATATAAATTAATTATCACTTGTAATCGATACTTATTATCATATATACTGGTATATTGACGGAGATGTGAAATGAACGAGGCGAACGACGGAACGTGCTACTCTATAGTGTACCCCGAGGGATTTATTGTAAAGATTCGCGTTTTTTTAATTACTTGCCCCTCATTTAGAGCAATTATATTTTCCATGTGCATATACTGTTAACGATTGAACTTCTCATTAGCTTCGTCAGCGAAAAATTATGAGAACAAAGCGGCAGTATCATGCCACTGTGCGCATTCAACACATACAAGTCATCATCATCATCTCACCATTGCATCGTCATTCTAATAATCAGCGTCACCCGGAAAATGTGGGCAGTAAGTGTTTCTAGCATCTAGTATTGCTGTTATCAATTCAACACACGTTTACTTCTTGGCAGAAAGCGATAAAGTTCAGCTAAAGCATAAAAGTTGTAATTAAGCCCCAGATTAGATCGAAAAAGAAATTGCGTACGCAAAAATCTAAATATAGACGTGTTTCATTACACACCAGTATGCGGCGCTTCGTCTTAAACATAAAACCTGCCAGTGATAGACATCTTTCTAGTATACAGGGGATAATTTCGCCCGCTATTTTCTTAATGTACTTTATTCACATTCAAGATTTACACCCCACCAACTGTGAAACCCCACCTGTAATGGAACAGTGGGGTTGAGGTGACAGTGCGAAAGAGTCCACAATACATAATATTTAATATTCCTTATTTTGTGTTTGAGATCATCCTGATTCTCAAGTCTAGGTTGGTCTACGGCAAGTATCCAGCGGCACGTGATGATCACGTGATAATATCAGCATAATTAGACCAGTTGATTGAATATTACGCGAAGCAGTACATCGCAAGCATTTTCGGGTGATTATATCTACTTCCCTGGTACTGACTGCCATTATCACTATAGCAACTAAACACTTCGTTCGACTGCAATTACCGCCAGTCTCCGCGTTTAATATGTACATTGGGTTATTTTCTCAAACAAAGCAAAAAACTGTACCAATTAAATGACGTCATAAAATGACATGGCTTTCCTTCAACGTATATTTGACAGACTCGTCCTATAAACAGTACGCTGGGTTGACGTACGTACATGGCAGCGCACTGCAGTGTGGGTCAATTAAATTCCAGTGAAATCGCACATTACTACCGATAACACGTAACGGATTCATGCGTCATTTCCCGATTGCGTACATTTCATGCTAGATGTAATATTCAAATTAATTCGTGACGTTTGCAATAAACTCGACTAAAGCCTCTACTGTGTTGAGGCATATTGTACCCGTGTACTGTGTTGTTACGTAAATGTAACGCCAACGTCAGCTACGTATACTAGTATTCTATTATGCAAGTTACACTATGTTTTGATAAATGAGCAATTAAGTGGAAGTTCAGTAAAACGTGACTCCATGACGTTCAGTCGGTTGAAGGAAGAGCACAAACGGGGTTCATTTGTTAAATCAACGAAAATAGAGGGTCAGTTCATTTGTCGAAGCAAGGTCACACATGGAGTTTATTTCTAAATATCAAGGGAAATATTGGTTCAAATGGCTAAAGAAGGGTCACACATGAAGTTAATCTGTTAAATCAAGGATATTATGGGTTCAGTTAGTTGGAGCTAGGTCACACATGCAGTTAATCTGTTAAACAATAGGTAACAGAGGCTCAGTTGGTTGTAACAATAGCATACGTTCAGTTAATTTGTTAAACCAAGGGTAAATCAAGGGGACTATAGTTTAGATTGCTGAAACAACGGCACACATGCAGATCATTTTTTAAATCATTGAATTATTTAATTATTGAAGCACTGACACATTGAGTTCATTTGTTGGAATATGCGTTCAATTTTTTAAGATGCAAGGGCACTATGGAGTGCATTTCCTGAATCAAGGTGAATATGTGTTCGGACATTAAGTGCATTTCCTGAATCAAGGTGAAAATGGGTTCGGATAGTGAAAACAAATAAATGCTGGCCATTTATTTCACACAGTGTTGTAAAAATGCATGGTGCAAACTAATAAACCTTATACAGATTATTGTCATTCAATCCATCAATCAATCAATCAATCAACCGGTGAATCAGTCATGGCTATATACTGTTTACTAGTACAATACATTACGCCATAACGCGTAGTTCGTGACGTCATATGAATTCCTTTCAATCCCTTCGGTATGTTATCCACATTGAGGTATTAGTAATTTACAACACATGTGGTATAAAACAATCAATATACCACTACATCCCATAACGTAATCACATTTATACCGTACTGTTGTCATTGAATTAATAATATTTGTGAGTATATTATTTATTTTCAGTTCATAATTTGCGGAGTGCTCGGTTTGGCATGTGCGAAGAGGAAAACAGCATATATGGTGAGTAAAGTTTCTAATCAATTATATACACGTACATGCAGTGTTTACCGTAGTGTGTGTTTGCCAAATCACGTGGCGAGTTTTAATTACCCAGCGGAGTGGGAGTTGTCTATTTCATACTCACTGAGTGTTTAATGAAAATCAAAAGTAAGGTGACAATTACAGTATGCAAATTACCCACAGATAAGCCACACCCACTTTCTTAAATGTGGTTTAATAAAAGTGTATAATACTTTATATCTCACTATTCCTGGAAGCACCTCACACACGTGACCTGGTAAACTGTCTTCTTATCAGTGTATGACCCCAAGCAAAATAGCAAATATATATTATGTATTGGTAATTGACGGAAACCATTCCTTCGTCGGCAACACCCCATGTCACAGCTGTATGGCCGCCCTATCTCTGCCTGTTAGATAATGTCCACTCTGCGGTTATCGATTGTATTGTCGCTCGATGTGAACCCGCCGCCAGCAGAAAAGCTTTTTAAATGAAAGAGAGCGAACTTGTCTCATTTATACTCTTGTACAGTGGAAGGATGGAGAGATAAAACAAACAGCTGATGTTAGTTTTGTCAAACATATCCAGACGCCTTTCAAATAACTGTCCGTGTAAGTAAATTCATTACAGATTGTGCAAATAAACAATAATTGAGTACAAATCTAAAAAAAAGGAAAATACATTGATGTTCATGTGTTTTAGCGTCAAAGGAGATGCCAAAAAAGCCACAAACAGCGACAACAGACTACATAAAATAAAGACATAATGTAAACCAACAGAGGACTGACGCGAAAGACAGCAAATCCTTAGATTTAGATGGCTTATACATTGAAAGAATTATATCAAAAATGTCAGCGTATTCAGTGAGTTTAACGTGTTGTTTCTCTCCTCATATTGAGTGATGTAAACACTTGTACATGGAGTACCGGGTACATATTAGCTTAGACTGTTGGTTAAGTCACGCCCATAATGAACTGAATAAAGTTAAACAATGCGTGCGTGTTGTTGCTGGTATCAGTGGACGTGTAACGTATATGGGAACATGGGAACACTAGCTGTACATTGACTATAATTACTTCAAACACATAACATAACATAACATAACATATGATTCGATATATGTGTGTCTTGCTTTCGTAAAGAATTGCCCGCAGAAGCGTAATGCATCCATTCGCAATTTTAAAAGATTAATTAAATTTAAAAAAGCGTGGATTCCCAAGCGATACTGGACGACAAATTCGTTCTGTTAAGTAGGCGTATTGATTACGAGGTTTTATAAAAGTGCAGCATTAATTAGTACACTAGAGGGTGAGACTGGCCAATTCAGTAAACACTTAGTACAACTACTCACTTACTAATGTATATTTCATTCGATGTAACGATCGTGTAAATTGCACCCTTACTAATTAACAGCACTTTCCCGGTTCTCAATATAAATTAAGTATCGGACCTTACGTATAAAAGCCATGATTTAAAGAATTCTGTGTGCTTTTACACGTATTTGTTTTTATTATGCGTGTGTTATAGTGTGACTGTTACAGAAACGCCCTAAGAGGCACCGTCTATGATTTTTTTTCTTCAAAACGCTAACGCCCAGAGATATTGTTAACAAAAATTTCGTCTCACGCCTATTTGAACAAATGGTTAAGTTATAACGTGTGCTCGTTTTGCATGGAGGCCTGACACGTCACGTAGCAGTCTCTTGTAAATGGCTTCATTAGTTACCTTCCACGCATCTTATTAGAGTTAACACGGTGCAATTGCAGCTGTCATATTCCCAAATGGATTCACAAATGTGCCTTCATTAATGCCGTATAGTGGATAGACGGAAAGAGAGTGGAAATAACACAGCTAACCATAGATCGAAGTAAGTATATTGTATAGGACAGGGGTCAAACTCTGCTAAACTTCAAAAAACAAGAACGTATTTGGATCTGGATAATGACAACCATAATATTACTCATTTGCTGAATGACAATTTTAATGGTTTATAAAATTAAACTTATTTCGTTTATTTCGTTTCTTATTATGAAATTATATAGTGGTATGGATATATGTGGAATGAAAGTAAAACTATAACATCTTGCTTCATCCCTAGCTCCACAATCACAAAACAATTTACACACATTGCCTAGACAACAATTGCTAAAGGGATTGGTGACCTGTCAAATGTAATACTTTCTCTTGCACGAGAATTAGATTTTCAATAAAGCATATTGATATGAACTTGTACTATATATCTATAGAGCCTGGATTATTGTTTTAGAGCCGTTATTTAATTAAGACCACACGTTCCAAGTTGTCAAGCAGTCTGTACGACGACTGCGTTATTTCGTCAATTTGTTGATGTGAGCACGGTTGACAACTCCATATTACTTTATGCTTGAATAACGGAAAACAAACAAAATATCACATTGTTTTACAACACATAACCTACAT